GTTTTATTAAATTTATTCTTATAAGTAATAATATGTGTATCTCTTTCCTTAAATAAAATATTAGCAATAATAAAATTAAATGCTAAAGCAAAATCTAATATGATTCTACCTCTTCATTAATCACTCCAAAATCATAGCCAACATAAATATTTCTAAAATCTTTTGACCCTCTACCAACATGTCCATTTAAATCTCCTCCAATAAAAACTTTTATCTTCAAGATCTATTATTTGTATCATATCTTCTAAATCAATCCATAATTTTTCTTTAAAACCTATATCTGAACTTACTTGAAGAGCATAAGGACTTAAAAATCCTAGTATCAACAATAATATTAAGGGTTATAATTCTATCTTTAAATAAGGTTTATAGTATTATTATCTTTCAAACTCTTACCTATAATTACACTTACACCATTTCTAGTGCGACTCCTACCTGAATACCAAAATTTAAAACCTAAGCTATCAATCTCCTTAGCATTTTTTCCAACCCATTTAGTTTCTTGAATACATAAGATATTTATCTTTTTATTAACCATAATATCAACCAATTTCATTAAATTACTTATGAGAGTACTCATTTTTCAAGATCCTATCCTAATAATAGTTTCATGGACTAACTTCTTTATCTGCATCTATCAATAATGTGAGAACTCTTGCTTATTTGACACTACACCAAGGCGGCAGTGTAGCGGCCCTTGCACACTTATTGTTGTATTCAGGTCATACAGTGTATCGCTTCCAGGGAACGTCCTAGCATTTACACAAGGATTTAAAGGATTCATGTCATGATTTTTCGACAAATTTTATGCTAACAGTCGACTACCTAATACAACCCTCTACTTTTCACATCTGAGACTTGGGACCCAGAAATGGCAGTGTTCAATGAATAAAATAAAATAAAAAATTATAAATAATTAATTAAAACAAAGTCTAATTTTTTTTTTATTTAAATTTTATCCGAATAAAGAAAACCCTTAATAAAGTGCATTATCCCACTTGATTTACGAACATCGTCCTGTTCAAGAAGACCAATGAGACCTAAATAATGCTTGTAAATTATACCTATCTCAATTAGGCTTATCAAAAGGACACCTTTTTCTCAACCCACAAATCAATAGGGCGATGAAACTTCCAAACATCAAATGATTCACCTAATGGATGTGTCAACTCTAGTAAATTGGAAAGAACTACAAATCAAAATCACATCCAATTAAATTTACAAATGACTATAACGTTATCATATGACATGCATTTTCAACCAAACAATATTGATGACACATTAACACCTTATGAACAAAGTCTTCAAAGATCTCAAAGGGTAGGGACCCCATGGAGGTATATGCTACAATATGCTAGTTAAAAGCTTTGAAAGATTAAAATATATCTATGACATAGACAAATGCTTCTAGCTCCTTCAACAATACAACATCTGACTCGATCCAACCAAATATGCCATCTAAAATGATATTCAGCTCTTTAACTGCCAATATTACCATCAAGGAAAGGCTCAAATTTGATTTATCCACTGAATCTAATGCTTGGTCTAACTCCATAGCAGTAACCAACTTCTTCCCTATGACATCGTTCTTGACCTTCTCCAAGAGTTCTGGACGAATTTTTACCCATAGAGAAGGAAATAAATTTCAAGTTGATGTCCCACCCATAGAGCTTCTTCATATTAACATAACCATCAAAAGTAGCTTCAAGGCACTCATCTTTAAAATCATTTTCTTACTCAAAGAACTTACGCTGGATTTTTGCAATAGTGATGGTGATATCTTCCAATAGGATCAATCTTTATTGTATTTTGATTCTAGGATCACCACAGGTATTTTTTTAATCAACATCTCCATCATCGCAACCATTCGTTGTTGGAGTATAACTTGGTTATCCAAGCCATTAGAGTTTCTCCTCCTGATGTTTATATCTTAGCTTCCTGTTTTCTTCTCCGTGAAGTATCCATGGTAAATAAATGTTCTCATGTCTTCTAATAACCGCTTTTCATAAACATCATGCATTAAAATTCTTTTTGAGCTTAGTGCTTTGATGACCATCAGAATATTGAGAAAAATAAATGACAAACAAAAGTGTCAATGGATTGAAATTGTTAATCTAGATACTTAATTTTTGAGTAAGAAAAAATATGAGGCAGACAATGTCATGAGTCCTCCTTTTCTCTAGCTCTCTAATTCCTTAGAGTCTATCTCTCTATGAAGACAATGCCTCCACGAAGACAATGAAAGCACCTAATTCCATAATAATGAAATAGCAAGTGAAAATAACAACAAATTGTGAAGGCTAATTGTACAAAAGAATCCAAGAAATCATTAGTTGGAGGTCACTGGGGATGAAGGACTCATACACCCTAACCAAAGCCCAAGAACCATATGAGGTATGCATCAAAAAATCTTAGCAATTGACCTCACCGTTGGTGTCTTCTTATGTTTGTTATAATATTGATTGGTGTTGATTATTATGTAATTAATTTCGAGGAATGGACGTGCGTAAAAATTCATAGTTCTGATTTTAATTTCTAACTTATTAATAAACATATCTGCAGTTATAAAGTTCGTATAAAATAATTTTCCAAGGATTAAGATCCTAATAACCACAATCTACTTTAATAACCATATTTATTGTTACAAATATGTAACGCATTTTAGCAAACCTAATTCTCCTGGAAGTGTTCACATGAAGAAGCAAAGAAAATTACCCATCGAACAGCCCAAAGAAAGAGAAAAAGTGTAGGGTTTGGGAAACTTTAAGCTCACTAGTCTAGGTGAGACAAAACCATAGAAACTTAGTTGTGATTAGATTAAGTCTTATTTCAACAAAAACTTAGAAAGAAGGTATGAAAAAAAGTAAAGGCCTATGAGTATCATGAGATCCTTGTAAGAAATACTAAAAACTGATGAACATCTCAAAAGGTAATTAACTCATAAATCACCCGACAGAAGTTAACAAAAGTTATGTACCTCTTAAGCGGTAAGCAACACTCAAGTTTGGCATGAAAGGATATACTAGAAGCCGTTCGGTTGGTGTTGTGCAAAACCCAATCAATCTTAAAAGGTTTCTATGGACAGCTACGCTAATCAACTCCACTTCACGTAAAAAGGCAGCTTCTCCACCAGGACTTTCATAATCAATTAGTCGCTTTACTGCAATTTTTCTACCATCTTGAAGTACTCCTTTATATACTTTTCCAAAACCACCCTGACCTAGTATGTTCTTCTCACTGAAGTTGTCAGTTGCAATTTCTAGTTCACGCCATGCAAATCTTCTCAATTGCCCAAATGCTATTCTCCGGTCATATTCACCTGGAAAGTCAAGTCAGTAGGAAAAAATAGGTTTAAATTTAAAAACATCCGCCTTAAAGAAGACTATTGGAAGATAACTTTATATGTGCATTTTAGTGATATGTGCATTTTAGTGATATCTACAGAAGTATCAATCAAAAGTTCAGTTAAATAACAAATATATGTGAATGTAATCAAACAATGTGCAAAGCATACATTTTAGTGATATGTGCATTTTAGTGATATCTACATACGTATCAATCAAAAGTTCAGTTAAATGACAAATATATGAGAATGTAATCAAACAATGTGCAAAGCATATAAAATATTTTTCTCCACATTTAAATCATGTTGCAATTTTAATAAAAACATTCAAATTGAGAAACATTGTGTCAAATCAGGTGAAAGTTAGGAACAAAAGTCCTGGTGTGAACCAAACAAGTTAGCTTGTAATAAGAAGCAATCCAGACCTGTGACATCAACAAAGGCTTCCTGTCGAAAACCTTCTTTCCTCTTCCTGCAAAGTAGAAACAGAGCGACTGCTAAAATGAGAGCTATTGCTCCTCCAATGCTTCCAAGAATCACTTTGATTTTCGAACTGCTAGATCCTCCTGTCAAGGCTCAAAATAAACATATAAAGCGATGTTCCAATAATCCACAGAATTACATGGTTTTATTTCACATAGAGAAGTAAAAATTTTATAACCAGACAAGACAATAATGTGTGAATAATTGTTTACCAGTTTCAGCCGCATTGGATGCACAAAGTGAAGAGAAGTTTCCTCCACAATTCAGATTGTTCCCTGTAAAACTGTTCCAATAATGGATCCAGATCAATTTCAAATTTCCAGGAAGTTTGATGCATTTCAAACTTCCTAGAACTATCAATTTAATCATGAAGATAATTGAAATCAAGCAAGTATCTGCCCATACTTGTATCTAGCAATGTGAAAGAGTTGATCAGGTATCTGTCCAGTTAGGTAATTAAATGCTAGACGACTGCAAAACAAACTGAAACAGTCAATAAAAAGAAAAAAAACAAATACAATCACCATGCATAATCAACTGACTATGGTAAAAGTTATTCTAAAACTTACATGTCATTTAAGCTTGAAATATTTGACAGGGAATTAGGAATACTTCCACTAAGATTATTGTTGCTTAAAATCCTACTTGCAATGATGGCAAGCGCAGCAGTTATTATGATGTGAAATGCAAATGAATAATGAAAAGATAACATTTCGATGTTATCAATAATTTACTTACAAAGTTTGGAGCTTAGAAAGCTTGCCGAGAGAATCTGGTATTTGTCCAGTTAGTTGGTTATTTTCTAAGACTAAGCTTCTCAAACTGGAAAGATTTCCAAATTCTTCAGGAATTTTACCAGTAATCTTATTGCCTGACAATGATCTGCACATGCAATGCAATCAATCTATAATTCCATTAAAAGAAATTTTACTTTATTTTAGTTATTATGGGCTTGTGTAGATTAGAATTGCTTTGGATGGGAAAGGAACCGAAAACTCATAAGAGTCATTTTCAGAGAAGACTACCATAATTTTCATAAAGATTTACTGGAATTACCAGCTTGAACTATAAAATAGAAATACTAGGCGGATGCATATTACCTAAGATTATACCTACCATATTGGAACCAAGTCTCCCTAATTCTATATCATCGAATGTTCATTCTTTAAAAGTCTATATCCTTCATACAAGATTAGCATAAATAACTATAGTCACCAGAGCTTACTAAAAGTCTATATCCTTCATACAAGATTAGCATAAAAAACTATAGTCACCACCAGAGCTTATCTTACCAATTCTATTGAGGCAATAAAAAACAACTTGATATATTTCACTATAGTGTTTGCTAGTATATAAGAAAACATAAAAAACAAAATAGGAATAGGAAGACAATAAAAGGGAAAATGTCCTCAACTAAAATAATATATTACAGAATAAAGGTAGAATGTATAATAATTATTTACTTTCAAATTTAAAAATCTTTATAATAAAACCCCACCTCAAACTGGAACATATATATCATGACGAACCAACTTGCTTTCAAGCCCCAAAAAATATAGTCCACAACTTCTATAAAAAATTTTTTCAGTTGTTCGAAGTTAGAGACATGAAGAGTGTGATCTTCCTTAATATAACAACATCTACAATGAAATAACAATCAACTTCAATATATATTAATCACGCACGAAAAATAGGACTGTTAGCAATATGAATTAATGCTTAATTATCACACTTAAAAGCCATGATTACTAACTTATTTTACAAATTTTTTTACCAACATCATTTAACAAGCATTGTGATATAATCAGGTATTTAGCCTTGACGCTAAATCTAGCAACTACATTCTATTTATATCCATGCGATAAAATTTTCTTCCAAAAACAAAACCTACTGTTTTTTTTTTATCTTCAATAAATCCAACATAATAAGTATCAAAGTAAGCTTTAATTTTTAAATGTTTGTGTTATATCCATGCGATAAAATTTTCTTCCAAAAACAAAACCTCCTGTTTTTTTTATCTTCAATAAATCCAACATACTAAGTATCAAAGTAAGTTTTAATTTTTAAATGTTTGTGTTTTTTTAAAGACCAGTCCTCTTTTAGATATTTTTAATATATGCTAAAACATTAAGTCAACATGCAAATATGTCTAAACTTGGTTATCCACATGTTAACTTATTATTATCATAAGATGTTTATAATATATCCATGTGAGGGTCAACATTTTTTTACCAAAGATGCCCAGCTTCCTGACGTCAGTAATGGCATATTTCCTTTGGTAGAGTGAAATACCACCTTCATTGCAAGTGAGTTGGATGACACTAAATTACTTTAGATGCACAAATTTTTTAGTAACATGTCTACTGAAGATGCTATTTATCTCCTCAATTCTAGAAACAATGATTATAGTACCTGAGGCTGAAAGACAAATGAAAAGAAAATAATCATTTGGGCTATTTCAAAGATCAACATTATCAAGGACTTTATAGAGGTTATTAAATCAGGCATGAGAGCTCGGCTTCAACACAAGTACAGCTTTTTTAAGCTTACAGATTTGGTTGTCAGCCTGAGCGGCATACCCAAAAGGTTGCCAGAGACATGAAGAGTGTGATCTTCCTTAATATAACAACATCTACAATGAAATAACAATCAACTTCAATATATATTAATCACGCACGAAAAATAGGACTGTTAGCAATATGAATTAATGCTTAATTATCACACTTAAAAGCCATGATTACTAACTTATTTTACAAATTTTTTTACCAACATCATTTAACAAGCATTGTGATATAATCAGGTATTTAGCCTTGACGCTAAATCTAGCAACTACATTCTATTATATCCATGCGATAAAATTTTCTTCCAAAAACAAAACCTCCTGTTTTTTTTATCTTCAATAAATCCAACATACTAAGTATCAAAGTAAGTTTTAATTTTTAAATGTTTGTGTTTTTTTAAAGACCAGTCCTCTTTTAGATATTTTTAATATATGCTAAAACATTAAGTCAACATGCAAATATGTCTAAACTTGGTTATCCACATGTTAACTTATTATTATACAGGTAGAAAGTAGTATTAGATTGGGTAACAATCAGGAAGATAAGTTTATTAAATGAAATACTATAATGGACATCGTCGATGCTATCATAAGATGTTTATAATATATCCATGTGAGGGTCAACATTTTTTTACCAAAGATGCCCAGCTTCCTGACGTCAGTAATGGCATATTTCCTTTGGTAGAGTGAAATACCACCTTCATTGCAAGTGAGTTGGATGACACTAAATTACTTTAGATGCACAAATTTTTTAGTAACATGTCTACTGAAGATGCTATTTATCTCCTCAATTCTAGAAACAATGATTATAGTACCTGAGGCTGAAAGACAAATGAAAAGAAAATAATCATTTGGGCTATTTCAAAGATCAACCTTATCAAGGACTTTATAGAGGTTATTAAATCAGGCATGAGAGCTTGGCTGAAACACACGTACAGCTTTTTTAAGCTTACAGATTTGGTTATCAGCCTGAGCAGCATACCCAAAAGGTTGCTTGATATAAGCTAATGACATCCACGTGAAAAAAAATCCACCCTTCATTAAAGGCCATAGCGAGGATGCAGATAGGGTTGAGCCATGTAAAATGAGAAAATGTTTCGATATAGTCAATGCCATAAATTTAAATATTTTAGCCACCCAAACTTTATAGCGAGCAATATTCCATTGGGATGAAACTTAAACGCTAAAGCGCTTGGGCATAAATAGATTTTACACTAACAAAAAAGTAAGCAAGTCCAAAAAGTGATAATCAAAGAGAACCCTCATTTCAATATCCACCACAAGCTTCTAGTTATGAGTGAGCCATGCTTCTTGATAAGTCCTAAAAATAGAAAAAAGAGACAAATAAAATCACAAAAAAAGGATAAAAGATCAAAGGATGTAAATCAATGTATTAGTACATTTTTGAATAACGTTTCAAACAGCAATTAAGATATGAAGATCTGAGGTTGCAAGTGCAAATGGATGTTCAGCTATAGTACATGGGATGGAAAGAGGTGCAACAGGAGAAGGCAAACAAGGGTGATAAGTATAAAAATGTAGTGGAGGAGCAAGCACAGACGCAAGAATTCAAAGTGGAATATGTAAAGAAAATTTTTAAATGGAGACATGGCAATAGTAGGGCAATGTTTCATAACAAGTAAAATCAGTAGAATAAAATATTAAAAAGCAAGATGTTAAAATGGAATCTTGCAATTTGTTGTGAAATAGTTATACTAAACATCAATATTGAGAAAACATTGGTGCTTACATTCAACCATATAATTCCCTTGAGTATAAGGTAGGATTTGATGTACAATACATTATTTAGAATAGAAATAAAAACTGGATTACATATACTCTAGGGCGCTATCAGAATGAAGAATATAAAAAAAGGAAAACATAACTATTATTTTCTTATAAAAATATTCGAATACAACAACTTCAACAAAAACTTTAATGGGTATATCCAAGTAATCTTAGAACTGTATTTAATTAATAACATAAATAAAATAAAAAAAACCCAAATTCATAGACTAGGACTTGGACCCTAGATAAGAAAAGAGATAACAACATGTTCACCATACTCACAGGCTTCACGTTCATATTTTAAAAAGAAGAGAAGATGAGTGAAGCCTTGAAAATGATGAGGGCAAAAAAAATAACAATATCACTGAAAGGGAACATAGTGGAGGGGTAGCAGGAATAAAAAGGAAGTAATCAATGCCTATTATTTTAACATCATCATCAATAATTTTCTTCGTGCTAACATATTGAAAAAAAAAAAAGAAAGGGTGAAGAGTTACTGAGCAATTGTGAAATTTTGTAAAATAGTTCATGGATAACATTTTTACAAAAAAGGTGAGAATCATATAAAATATTTTAAAGCTAATGCGGAGAGAGGAATAGTCCTTTAACAAAAATGAAAAGAGAGTTTGCATGATAAGAAAAGAAAACAACTGTAGTTAGTCTTTCTTATGACAAGAAGTACTAGAATCTAAGACTCGAAGTGAGCAGTTACAGTTAAACTAAAGGAGGAAACCACATGAGAGAAACGAAACCTATTTAATAATCTTATTTAGGGTCCGTTTGAGACAGCTTGTGCGTTTCAGGATAAGGTGCTTATATTGAAACACGGCCCGCGGGCCGCCAGCAGGGGTCGACCCGCGGCCTGCGTTTAATATAAAAATCCAAACTTCGGATAAGCTGGCGAAACGCGCGAACCAAACGGTACGACGGCGTTTTGAAAACGCCGCCCGCACTTATAAGCTGCCCCAAACAGACCTATAGTGGTAGTCAATTGAGAGCTTGGTAATGAGCGATTATATTCTTCTCGGGAGAGGGAGAAAGAGAGAAATTTCCATAATGACTTTTAGTATAATCAAAGTATAATTGGTGACATGTTGAGTAGCTAGATGATAACCAAGATTTTCTCGACAATTATCTGATGAGTGCTTGGTTCTCTAAAAATGCCAGCAATGTGGAAATAAGTTGTATTGCCACAGTTAACCCATCTACGTCTTATGCCAGTAGCAACTGTGGTGTGTTCATGATAAGAAGACAAAACAACAAGCTAAGTGGCCTGCAGAACCCAAAACAAGGCCATGGAGATACTGAGAGCTATAAATTCAACCATTAATTGAGTTTAAGCAGGCCGGAAAGACTTCTGGAAACCAAAGATAAACATAGCAAAAAGAAAACCTCCATTTATTTTTGCTTAGTGAGATCAGCAGTAAAGAGGTGATACTTTCATCCCAAACAAAAATATTGAATTAAAGAATATATGCCCAAGAGATGTTACTGTTTAGATAGTATGTAGAATGAAGAAAAAATAATCCCACATCCCGTCAGTAGCCTAAAAAAATATGATAGTGGGAGCACGTCACTTTGATACCATTGAGCATCTATTTGAGAACCACATATTAAAGCTAATGCGGAGAGAGGAATAGTCCTTTAACATACTTAAGCTTGTTACTTTGTACACTGGTGGTTTTTATTGGTCTCATGAAAACCAATGAGAAAATGAAAAGAATGAGACGACAAATGATAGTTGATTCCATTGAGTTTGATAGTGGCACCAATATTAAAAGAGGATTACATTTTGAAGAGAATAGAAAAGGCATCAATGAATAGCATAGAGAAAAGGACAATGATGAGTTAATTAATCATATGGATCAAAGAGCTACTATTGGAGGAGCTTGTATAGAAGCAATCATTAAATGCAATTATCTAAAAGGTGCCTGGATTATGGGAGCAACAATGCACACAAGCATGGAGGCTGTCTATGGGAGGACGGGTTGAGGAAAATGAGAGATGCAGCAAGATGTAGGGCTGTGGGTGGTATCAGACAAGCGTATAAGCAAGCAAACATGCGCACAGGGCATGCCACAAGCAGGGAACGGCGGAGGCATGTGAGTCCAATATTTGCAGTGAACAAGAAAACAAAGGAAAAGGCACAAAAGGAAAAAAAAAAAGAGAAAGAGAGATAGGGAAGTGTTTCCCCACTTATTTTGAGAATGGGCCAATACTATCTTAATACAAATCATTATCCTCAAAAAGTAAATAATAGTAAAATGAATGATGAGGCAAAATGAACTTGTTCCTAAACCATGTTCAGTGGTTATATGCTAAACATAATTCCAGACATCGGACACATGAAAAAATAAACATTTATGAAATTATGCAAACTTACAGGGCTGTTAGATAAGCCAACTGCCCGATACTTGGTGACAAGGTTCCATTAAAACCCATGTTAGGCAGAGTTCTGCAACATAATGTATCATAGAAAATACAGTAAGTCAAGAAACCTTCAAATGTGTGTGTGTGTACATAAAATTACGTGATTTTTTTTCATGAAAGGTAATTTTGAATTGATGCAATAGCATATTAAAATTTATTGATAAAAATTGTAGTTTTTAGGTAATTCGCTGACTTACACTTGAATGACTTTGTTGTTATCATCACAAATAACAGAATTCCAAGTGCAAGGGTTAACCTGGTTCTGATTCCAATCAGGAAGCTGATTACTAGCTGCATTTAATCTATTTTTCATGTCAATCAACACATCCCCTAGGACAACAAAAAAATATGCAATTAGTTATCATACCAAAGAAGGTCAACACACTTGCAATATTGGAAGTACTCCTTGGAAATGATTAAAGTGTGGCAAACTAAAACTACTTTAAAGTAGTACAATGGTTTTATAAAAATCCAAACTTGCTCAACACAAGAATGCTTGAACGACTGAATCCATGGATATAAGTTCAAATATGATCAAAATGTCAATAAACAGAAAAAAAAAAAGCAACCCTTATCAAGAGTAGGGGACTTATTTGCTCAAGTTTTACTAAGCTCTTAAACAAAATATCTGGAATAAATAGTGCTGAACTATTTCAAACAATCACAATTGTATTTGAATTATCTACAATTTGGAAGGGACTAATCAAAAAAGTAAAGAATGTACTTCTGCCTCTTCTTACGTGCTTCATTCACATCGCATTCTTTTAGTTTTACAATTAAAAAGCATGCAGTCTTACTGATATATCATAAACTAAAGGTCAAATTTCAGAGCAACAGACTGCAGCATGACGCCACATTCAATCTAACAAATAGTAAGCAACCAATAATAAAGCTTCATGGAAAGAGACACAGAGTTTGACCTGTGGGAGTTCAATAGATTTGAGGCAATATATATATATATATATAGACTAAAAAAGTAAGAAATCCAATGCAATGGCTGTATTAAAGAACATCTTGCCAGCAAGAAAAAATAATCATTGACGTTTTGTACCATGTTAGGAGAAACTAAGACATGTAATCTACCTTCACCATTAGATACAACAATTGAAAGAAGAGTGGCAAGTACGAGAACTACGAGATACAACTTCATCTTTTTTTGATTTTTCTCACTTGACAGTATAGCATGGATTTGTAGCGTATCTAAAGGGCACATTGCCTGCAAAAGACAATTTGACAGGATCAGTTTATGAAAAATGAAACCATATGAGATAAAGTACATGGCAGGTTAAATGAGCCCATTTTGGTATAATCAAAATCAAAGACCTTAATGTACATCTCAACTCCCGCTTTGTCGTCGAATGACAGGAGGCATTCATGGGCCCAATGCTTTCTCCATAGCTCTTCAAATCACTAAAATTGAAAGCGGGAATGAATTCACAAAAATCATTTGCTACATTTCAAACTAGATAAAAATTTGTCGTAAGAATATAAATAGACTATTTATTTTTAGGTAAACGGACATTTATGAATTCCTCCGTTCATCCGAATGCAAAAAGAATTTCTTGATTTTTTTTTTCTTTTTGAGGCGTAAATGATTATAAAAACAACAAAATGCCATAGATTTAGGTTGTACAGTAAGAAAAAGAAACAGAACAGAAAGTCACAATGCTATATTAATTC